CAGCGCTCCGTCGTCACAGGCCCCGGACGCAGGCCAACCAGGAAGGCAGCCGGGCGTCGCAGCCAAGGCGCTGTATTCCTACTTCAGGGGCAGCAAGCCATGACTCTTCCCGACTCCGATTTCCAGGACAGAAGCCTGCTGAAGAGCCCTTTGCTGTCCTGCCCTGGCCAGCCGACGGGCACGTCCTTGGTCGTCAGCTCCTAATCACGGTGCTTCCCTTTCAGGTCTCTCCCAACACATCATTTCTGCCAGGTGCTTTCTGTCCTGAGCTCCTCTTGTGCTGCTTTGCTCTGTGGACTTTCTCAGGAGCAGAGATACCTGGAGCAGGCCCTCCCTCTGTGCTGAACTCCCCCATCTCGCAGGGTTCTCAGAGCTACTTCTATCTCCACTCTCTGTCCACTGCCCCACCCATCCTAGTGCATCAATAAAATCTCCTTAATTGATTTCTGTGTCCTGTTCAGTTGTCTCTGTTGATGTGACAGGCTAAGGGCTACAGGGTTATGATATAATTCTGAGAAAACAGTGTATGACCTTCTCAGAGCGAGAAAGGTTCAAAGTGAGGAGATGTCATACTTCACCCTTGGTAGAGGGGATCAGGGAAGACTTCTTCCAGACGCACTTTTTGGGATAGCCCTTAACTTATTCCCAGTCTTTCCCTGTCTCTAATTCTAGAGCATGAAGTCTCTGTTCACCTGTGTGGTCACACAGGGCGGCTGACTTGATGGAAGGTCCAGCAGCTCTGCAGGAGAAATGGCAGAAGGCATGGTTCTGAGGGGCTGAGCCAGAAGCCAGAGCCCCTGAGCTTCTCTTCCCCACGTCCCCTCAGCCTCAGCTCCAGCCTCTCATGATGCTTCACCCACTTGAAATGAATAAGTTATGGGTAGAACCAGAGGAAACATTTTTGCAAATTAAGATTTTTAAACCTGACCCTAGAGAGGCTGATTCCTAAGGTTTGGAGCCAAACCTATGAATACTGTTAAACCTTCTCATGGGAATGTGTGCTTCTGGCGGTACAGACGTTCAGGTACTCTGAAAGCCTCCCACAAGGAAATAAATAGATCTTGAATAAGGCATATTTCTCCCCGTGTTCTTGGTTCTTGGGAAGTAAGGAAAATCTCTAAGGAGAAAACAAAATGTGGTAGGCTGAAAAACTACCTCCAAAAATGTCTCCTAATCCCAGGAACCTGTGAACACGCTGCCTTAACAGCAAAAGGGGCTTTTAAATGTGATTGTGTTAAGGATCTGGAGCTGGCGAGGTAAGTCTTGATTATATGGCTGAGCTCAATATAATCACAAGGCTCTTCGTAAGAGCGACTCAATAAAAGGACACATGGAATGAACGAGCAGTTGGAGCCATGTGCTAGGAGGCAAGGAATGTGGAAAAGACAAGGCATTTCCCCCCAGAGCCCCCAGAAGGAACAGCACATCCAGCACCTGGATTTTGGACTTCTGATCTCTAGGGTTGTAAGAGAATAAAATGTGTATAGTTTCAAGCCACTAGGTTTGGAGTAATTTGTTTCAGCAGCAATAGAAAATCAACACAGAAAACAAAAACCTAGAGCTGAGCCAGGCCAGGGTGGTGCAGGCCTGTAATCCCAGTGATTCCGGAGGCTGAGACAGAAGGATCACAAATTTGAAGACAGCCTGGGCAACAAGACCCTGTCTCAAAAAACAAACAAACAAAAACACAAACCTAGAGCTGAAGCCAGAATAGTTAGGGGATAATCATGTATAAAAGGTGAGGACAAGCTGATTTTATATCCCCCCAAACTGGCCTTTAAATATAAAGGCCAGGCTGGGGCTGTGGCTCAGTGGTAGAACACTTGCCTAGCATGTGTGAGGCACTGGGTTTGAGCCTCAGCACCACACAAAAATTAACAAACAAAATAAAGGTTAAAAACAAGTTCAAATAAATAATCTATATCTTTTAAAAATAAATTAAAAAGTAATAATAAATAGGCCAAAGATGAACAGCAAAGAACTTGCAGGCTCAGGGAATAACCCTGCCTTAAGCTCTTCCTGGGGAATCTTGGAGAAGAGACATGTATTCACACACACACACACACACACACACACACACACACAGAATCACAGAAGAAGCTTTTGAATTATACACACTTAAATACTTCTAACTTCAGATCTGAGACTAAATAATGTGGACAAGGTGACATAACAGCATTTAATGTTATGTGCTCTGAATATATAGAATGATATAGTTAACAAAAAATGATTATAGAAGGGGAAAGTGTATGGAAAATGGAGTAAGCTCACTGATTGTCTTATGTAAGTATATACTTTAAGGAAAAATTGGGAATAAAAGAATATCACTTCAAATTAGATGAGGGGAGGGTGAAGGATTCTAGAAAATGTCATTATTAATTAGAATAGGGAATGAACAGACAAAATACAAAGGGGGGGGTACAAGATACATACTACATAAATATATACTATAAAGGTAAGTAAAGATAGAATAAAAACATAAACCTCCCTCAACATCAAAAGATATTCCAGGGCTAGAGATGTACCTCAATGGTAGACTGCTTACCTAGCATGTACAAGGTCCTGGATTTGATCCTCAGTACTACAAAGGAAAAAAAAGATATTGCAGAAAAAAGCTACATATACACAATCCCTTCACAGTGTATGTGTTTGTATGTATATACATATGCATATAGATAGAATGATATACACATATACATACACATATTTGTAGAACTCATATGTGAGGTTCTACCCAACCACACAGTAACCTAACAATAAAACTACTTATAAAATATTCAATACTAAGATATAAATAAAAAATATCCTCATACAGCTTTCAGAAATAAAGCAAATAGGATTCTTACAGGCAGCACATGCAATATTGATGAATATCACCAAATCTGTGGTATGAGTTATTGGTGGAAATTACCACACATATACATACTATTAATCAACTCTTGGATAAAAGGAGATGACTAGAAAGTGAAATTGTGGAACTTTTTGAAAGTAACAATTAAACAAGGCATACAAATATTGACTGAAAAGTTAGAAAAATACCTACAATAAAAAAGAAACAAAAACAAAAGGAAGAATTAATAAAATCATAGGAGAAATTAACAACTAAAAACAGAAAATCATTCCATCAGTGTATAAGTAAATAAAAACCCTACATTTTGGAATCAACAAGGTAGTAAACTATTAACCAATGTTGTTTTTAAAAAGGTGAAAAAAGTGGAAGTGAGAAAACACAGATACACAGAGTAAGAAGTAACAATGGGCAAAGGCAAAAGTTCACACAGAAAAGTAACAAATCATTCTAAAATGTATGAAAGATACTAAACTTGTTTATAATCCTAGAAACAGACTAAAACTGTATTGAAGTGCCATTTCTCATCCTCAGCCTGACAAAACCTCTCTGTGAGTTTGACGTGGAGCTCACACTTCCTGGTGGAGATGCACAATGACAGCTCAGTGGAGGGGGATTGGGCAAAATTCATCCACTGAATAGATGCCTGCTCTCTTCCAGCTGTTTCCTTGGAGGCTTGAAGTAGGGGTTAGCAAACTGCAGTATTCAATAATTAGTTCCTGAGAGAACTAAATGGCTTGACCTCTCCTTCCACACACGCAAGTTAATATCCTTATGGACTTGAGACTATGTGAAGTTAGATATAATCAAGCTCATGGCAAATGAGAAAATCAAGTTTTCTTTAGTGTTGCCCAAAGTCTTGCTGTTAGAAAGGGGCAGAGCTAGGACTAAATCTAGGTCCTCTGAATATCAACTCAGTGTCAAATCACACCTCACAGAGCAGAAAGGGCACCCAAGAGCTTGAGGATCTACCAAAGGGGTTGAAAGTCAGACAGTTGGTCCTCCAATCCCCATCTCCATACTCAATGGGTGATTCTTACCATGAAAATATGGAGCCCTTGTACGCCTTGGAGAAAACACCACTCTGGATCCATATTCTTAAGGAACTTCCAGGAATGGAAAGGGGGTGTTGAGTTACCAGTCCTTTCATCCATTGCATTTCTTGCTATAAACAGATGGATTGGACTCATGAATGACAATCCCCATCTTTGGGCTTAGCAGATGTGAGACTGACACTCAGGAAGAATCTACCGTCACAGTAGTTCAGAGTTGGGGCCTAAAGTGGGGTTCCTCCTAAGCTTCTGCATTCCCCAAGGTAACTGTTCCACCCCAGGTCATCCCTCACCCCTCATCTCCTTTTGGGATTCACTGACCTCTCTTGAGCTTTTAGTGTCAACATATATCTGTTTCTTTCAAACAATATGCATGTTAGTTGAGAGTTCAAAGGAAAAATTTGTGCAAAACAGAGACTCGGTGGGAACGGAGTGTTTACATACAGCCCCAAGGTGAACTCTGACATTTCTCTTTCACATCAAATCAAACACTATAAAATGTACTTACATGCCACTGAAATAGAATTTTTGCTGAGAATTTTTTGAAAGAAGATTTTTATAATTTCTTTTTAAAATTATTTGGATGTAAGTAGTATCTGATTTGACTATAATGCTATCCTTGCAGTTACAGAGCACACACTTGAGAGGGAAAAAATCTATATTAAAAGTTTCTAATCAAATAAAAAAATTCCATTAATACTAAATTTAACAATAAATAAAACTTACAAAGTTTTATTTCTAGGAGTTTTAAATGTTTATTTCTATTTTGCACATTTTTAAAAAATTTGGATACCTATAGAATAGTATCTATTTATTTTTAATTCTTACATCTTTGTTGACCCTTGTAAAGCTCCTAAGCCCCAGTCACACTGGCCACGATGTCTGAAGTCCTGTTCCCAGGCCTAGGGGGAAAGCTTCACTTCAGGGGCCAGGCAAACCAGGTGGCTTCCCATTTCTACAGAGCATCGTGCTGCTGCCCCCTGGTGACAGTTAAGACTGATGCCGCTAAAAACCTCCTGGAGGAAAAGTGCTTTTTAGGGAACAGGAAAATGTTAATCCAACATGGGGCAGGCTCAGTAGTGTGGTGGTGAGCACAGCAGCACCCACAGGAAGTACAGGAAGTGGCCAACCCCAGGCTCCACGGACCCTCGGTTAATTGTGTTTCTGTGTTTAGGAGGTGTCCTTCACAGATCCACTCTCTTTAG